TATTAAACAGTTTACAAGCATGAAAACTTGCCAATCAACTGTTGTTATTGTTATAAACAGCCTCCTGGTGCTTCCGAGCTCATTAACTGTTTAATAACTGTAAACAAAGCCGCCAAAGATTGAGAAAAGATGGACAGGTTCGTAAGTGCTTGTGTAACTGCTTCGTGAATCTGGCCCCAGGTTCGTATGTACTTGCGTAACTGCTTCGTGAACCTGGCCCCAGGTTTGCATGTTCTTGCGTAACTGCTTCCTGAATCTGGCCCCAGGTTCGTATGTTCTTGCGTAACTGCTTCGTGAATCTGGCCCCAGGTTTGCATGTTCTTGCGTAACTGCTTCGTGAATCTGGCCCCAGGTTCGTATGTTCTTGCGTAACTGCTTCGTGAATCTGGCCCCAGGTTCGTATGTTCTTGCGTAACTGCTTCGTGAATCTGGCCCCTGGTCGCTACAACACGACCTATCAAGAACCACGCCATTAGCGACCCACAAACACAATAGCCTATTTTGGGTATTGCTTAACCAATTTGACTGGGTACCCCAACCGGGAGTCAACCCAGGGGAGTTGAAGGCTGTTTACCTGCTGCATGGGTAACAGCTTCTCCCTGCATGGGTAACAGCTTGTCCCTGCATGGGTAACAGCTTCTCCCTGCATGGGTAACAGCTTCTCCCTGCATGGGTAACAGCTTCTCCCTGCATGGGTAACAGCTTCTCCCTGCATGGGTAACAGCTTCTCCCTGCATGGGTAACAGCTTCTCCCTGCATGGGTAACAGCTTCTCCCTGCATGGGTAACAGCTTCTCCCTGCATGGGTAACAGCTTCTCCCTGCATGGGTAACAGCTTCTCCCTGCATGGGTAACAGCTTCTCCCCGCGTGGGTAACAGCTTCTCCCCGCGTGGGTAACAGCTTCTCCCTGCGTGGGTAACAGCTTCTCCCTGCATGGGTAACAGCTTCTCCCTGCATGGGTGACAGCTTCTCCCTGCATGGGTAACAGCTTCTCCCTGCATGGGTAACAGCTTCTCCCTGCATGGGTGACAGCTTCTCCCTGCATGGGTAACAGCTTCTCCCTGCATGGGTAACAGCTTCTCCCTGCATGGGTAACAGCTTCTCCCTGCATGGGTAACAGCTTCTCCCTGCATGGGTGACAGCTTCTCCCTGCATGGGTAACAGCTTCTCCCCGCATGGGTAACAGCTTCTCCCTGCATGGGTAACAGCTTCTCCCTGCATGGGTAACAGCTTCTCCGCGCATGGGTAACAGCTTCTCCCTGCGTGGGTAACTGCTTCTCCCTGCATGGGTAACAGCTTCTCCCTGCATGGGTGACAGCTTCTCCCTGCATGGGTAACAGCTTCTCCCTGCATGGGTAACAGCTTCTCCCTGCATGGGTAACAGCTTCTCCCTGCATGGGTAACAGCTTCTCCCTGCATGGGTAACAGCTTCTCCTTGCATGGGTAACAGCTTCTCCCTGCATGGGTAACAGCTTCTCCCCGCATGGGTAACAGCTTCTCCCCGCATGGGTAACAGCTTCTCCCTGCATGGGTAACAGCTTCTCCCTGCATGGGTAACAGCTTCTCCCTGCATGGGTAACAGCTTCTCCCCGCATGGGTAACAGCTTCTCCCTGCGTGGGTAACAGCTTCTCCCTGCATGGGTAACAGCTTCTCCCTGCATGGGTGACAGCTTCTCCCTGCATGGGTAACAGCTTCTCCCTGCATGGGTAACAGCTTCTCCCTGCATGGGTAACAGCTTCTCCCTGCATGGGTAACAGCTTCTCCCCGCATAGGTAACAGCTTCTCCCCGCATGGGTAACAGCTTCTCCCTGCATGGGTAACAGCTTCTCCCTGCATGGGTAACAGCTTCTCCCCGCATGGGTAACAGCTTCTCCCTGCGTGGGTAACAGCTTCTCCCTGCATGGGTAACAGCTTCTCCCTGCGTGGGTAACAGCTTCTCCCTGCATGGGTAACAGCTTCTCCCTGCATGGGTAACAGCTTCTCCCTGCATGGGTAACAGCTTCTCCCTGCATGGGTAACAGCTTCTCCCCGCATGGGTAACAGCTTCTCCCTGCATGGGTGACAGCTTCTCCCTGCATGGGTAACAGCTTCTCCCTGCATGGGTAACAGCTTCTCCCTGCATGGGTAACAGCTTCTCCCTGCATGGGTAACAGCTTCTCCCTGCATGGGTAACAGCTTCTCCCTGCATGGGTAACAGCTTCTCCCCGCATGGGTAACAGCTTCTCCCTGCATGGGTGACAGCTTCTCCCTGCATGGGTAACAGCTTCTCCCTGCATGGGTAACAGCTTCTCCCTGCATGGGTAACAGCTTCTCCCTGCATGGGTAACAGCTTCTCCCTGCATGGGTAACAGCTTCTCCCCCGTATCAACCTACCGTGGCTTTGCACCCTGGAGAGGCCACTCCAGACCGACAACCAGAGCGCAACTCCATAGTCTCCTGAGACTGATGGATGACTACTACTATGAGCAGAGTATAATAATCCAGAGGGATTATTACTGCAGGATTGATCTCGGTCTCTCTATAATGCTTTCCATCCATCTACCACGAAATTTTGACGTTCCACTTGGGATGATATCTGCATGTGGAGAGTTATAGAGAGGATAGATCTCTCCACATGGGAGCTCGCAGGTATGGGGACGGTAGTGACTATCCCAAAGAGGACCACCTTGGGATAGTCTCTACCGTCTAATCCACGGGTCCGAGACGGGTCCGAGACGGGTCCGAGACGGGTCCGAGCTCCAGCAAAGCCTTAAACGCACAAACTGTCAATTTAAATCCATCTACCCGTCATCCAATCAACGAATTTAAGCTACTGGTTAATACTTCTCGTCAATATCATAACGAAATTATTAATTCATAAAATTAGTTTAGGAGACAGATCGAGGCACTAATTATTTCTTACAGGCCTACTCCCAGGCTCAGCCTAGGCCTCCTCACTCTCCACCACCTCTCATCATATACAAAACTAATATATACATATATTGTTATTTGGAAAGAGGGTAGCACCTCTGACTGGAAGAAGGGGACACATAATACTGGGAAACATGACACATTAGAAGGGAGTTTTAGGTCCCCTCCAATGTAGTGTCCGTGTTCCTTTGACCCACTACTCCCCTTTCTTTTGCTGTATTGGATATTTAAAGGTTACAAGATATACATTGGTTAATACAGAGAGTGCTTAAGAGTTATGGATCTCTTGGAGTTCCTGCTAGCTTCCGGACAGGATAAGTGTCTCCTATCTAAAGTTACACAACAATAACTTTATGTTACAGTTATGTACCACAACTGTAAGTTACACAGCTGTAAGTTTAGCAGGACGTCACACTAGAGCCAGGAGGACGTCACACTAGAGCCAAGAGGACGTCACACTAGAGCCAGGAGGACGTCACACTAGAGCCAGGAGGACGTCACACTAGAGCCAGGAGGACGTCACACTAGAGCCAGGAGGACGTCACACTAGAGCCAGGAGGACGTCACACTAGAGCCAGGAGGACGTCACACTAGAGCCAGGAGGACGTCACACTAGAGCCAGGAGGACGTCACACTAGAGCCAGGAGGACGTCACACTAGAGCCAGGAGGACGTCACACTAGAGCCAGGAGGACGTTACACTTGAGCCAGGAGGATGTCACACTAGAGCCAGGAGGACGTCACACTAGAGCCAGGAGGACGTTACACTAGAGCCAGGAGGACGTCACACTAGAGCCAGGAGGACGTCACACTAGAGCCAGGAGGACGTCACACTAGAGCCAGGAGGACGTCACACTAGAGCCAGGAGGATGTCACACTAGAGCCAGGAGGACGTCACACTAGAGCCAGGAGGACGTCACACTTGAGCCAGGAGGATGTCACACTAGAGCCAGGAGGACGTCACACTAGAGCCAGGAGGACGTTACACTAGAGCCAGGAGGACGTCACACTAGAGCCAGGAGGACGTCACACTAGAGCCAGGAGGATGTCACACTAGAGCCAGGAGGACGTCACACTAGAGCCAGGAGGACGTCACACTTGAGCCAGGAGGACGTCACACTTGAGCCAGGAGGACGTCACACTAGAGCCAGGAGAACGTCACACTAGAGCCAGGAGGACGTCACACTAGAGCCAGGAGGACGTCACATTAGAGCCAGGAGGACGCCACACTAGAGCCAGGAGGACGTCACACTAGAGCCAGGAGAACGTCACACTAGAGCCAGGAGGACGTCACACTAGAGCCAGGAGGATGTCACACTAGAGCCAGGAAGACGTCACACTAGAGCCAGGAGGACGTCACACTAGAGCCAGGAGGACGTCACACTAGAGCCAGGAGGACGTCACACTAGAGCCAGGAGGACGTCACACTAGAGCCAGGAGGACGTTACACTAGAGCCAGGAGGACGTTACACTAGAGCCAGGAGGACGTCACACTAGAGCCAGGAGGACGTCACACTAGAGCCAGAAAGACGTCACACTAGAGCCAGGAGGACGTTACACTAGAGCCAGGAGGACGTCACACTAGAGCCAGGAGGACGTCACACTAGAGCCAGGAGGACGTTACACTAGAGCCAGGAGGACGTTACACTAGAGCCAGGAGGACGTCACACTAGAGCCAGGAGGACGTCACACTAGAGCCAGAAAGACGTCACACTAGAGCCAGGAGGACGTTACACTAGAGCCAGGAGAACGTCACACTAGAGCCAGGAGGACGTCACACTAGAGCCAGGAGGACGTCACACTTGAGCCAGGAGGATGTCACACTAGAGCCAGGAGGACGTCACACTAGAGCCAGGAGGACGTTACACTAGAGCCAGGAGGACGTCACACTAGAGCCAGGAGGACGTCACACTAGAGCCAGGAGGATGTCACACTAGAGCCAGGAGGACGTCACACTAGAGCCAGGAGGACGTCACACTAGAGCTCTCTGGGCCAGACAGGCTGCAGCAATAGGCCTTACAGCGCCTGCAGCTGCTCCCAGAAGCCGCTCACCTGCAGTGTAATTAACAATGCTAACTAGGCAGAGCTAATTACCAATCCTGCATTCCAGGACTGGCATGGCCTGACCCCTCGGCCAGGTGGTGGGCCGCGTTCTCCAAGGAGGTGGGCCGCGTTCTCCAAGGTGGTGGGCCGCGTTCTCCAAGGTGGTGGGCCGCGTTCTCCAAGGTGGTGGGCCGCGTTCCTCTAAGGTGGTGGGCCGCGTTCCTCCAAGGTGGTGGGCCGCGTTCCTCCAAGGTGGTGGGCCGCGTTCCTCCAAGGTGGTGGGCCGCGTTCTCCAAGGTGGTGGGCCGCGTTCTCCAAGGTGGTGGGCCGCGTTCTCCAAGGTGGTGGGCCGCGTTCTCCAAGGTGGTGGGCCGCGTTCTCCAAGGTGGTGGGCCGCGTTCTCCAAGGTGGTGGGCCGCGTTCTCCAAGGAGGTGGGCCGCGTTCCTCCAAGGTGATGGGCCGCGTTCTCCAAGGTGGTGGGCCGCGTTCTCCAAGGTGGTGGGCCGCGTTCTCCAAGGTGGTGGGCCGCGTTCTCCAAGGAGGTGGGCCGCGTTCCTCCAAGGTGGTGGGCCGCGTTCCTCCAAGGTGGTGGGCCGCGTTCTCCAAGGTGGTGGGCCGCGTTCTCCAAGGTGGTGGGCCGCGTTCTCCAAGGTGGTGGGCCGCGTTCTCCAAGGTGGTGGGCCGCCTGCATGAAGGTAAACCGTCGCTCTACCATCCAACCCAAGTTGTTGAGGAACCAGTTCATCCTTTAGGAAGTTGGACCCAGATTCACGAATTTCACGCCAGATTCACGAAGCAGTTACGCAAGCACTTACGAACCTGTACATCTTTTCTCAATCTTTGGCGGCTTTGTTTACAATTATTAAACAGTTAATGAGCTCGGAAGCACCAGGAGGCTGTTTATAACAATAACAACAGTTGATTGGCAAGTTTTCATGCTTGTAAACTGTTTAATAAATGTAACCAAAGCCGTCAAAGATTGAGGAAAGATGTACACGTTCGTAACTGCTTCGTGAATCCGGGTCCACATTCGTAAGTAAGTGCTTGCGTAACTGCTTCGTGAATCCGGGTCCACATTCGTAAGTGCTTGCGTAACTGCTTCGTGAATCTGGCCCCAGGGCGCAGTGAGAGAGATACGACATTGGTGGCCATCCCCGGCACCGTAACCTGTCTCCTGTCGTCCCACCTGTCTCACCCCTGGACCCAGACAGGCCGGGACCAGAGAGAGAGAGGCTCACCATTGGTGCAACTCTCCCACACTTTAATCCAAATCAAGTGCAAGTCATGGTTTGAACCCGGGCCGTGCACCCTCAAGGCCTGTACTCGACTAGTTGTGCTTGCGAGGGGTTGAGCTCTGGCTCTTTGGGCCCGCCTCTCTCAACTCTCAATCAACTGGGATTTTCACACACACACACACACACACACGTGAACAAGTTAGGTGAGAAGGTTAGGCTCAGCTGCCAGAGGCCACCAGGTCCCTCCTCGCCCAGACACTTGCTCAGCTGCCAGAGGCCACCAGGTCCCTCCTCGCCCAGACACTTGCTCAGCTGCCAGAGGCCACCAGGTCCCTCCTCGCCCAGACACTTGCTCAGCTACCAGAGGCCACCAGGTCCCTCCTCGCCCAGACACTTGCTCAGCTGCCAGAGGCCACCAGGTCCCTCCTCGCCCAGACACTTGCTCAGCTACCAGAGGCCACCAGGTCCCTCCTCGCCCAGACACTTGCTCAGCTGCCAGAGGCCACCAGGTCCCTCCTCGCCCAGACACTTGCTCAGCTACCAGAGGCCACCAGGTCCCTCCTCGCCCAGACACTTGCTCAGCTGCCAGAGGCCACCAGGTCCCTCCTCGCCCAGACACTTGCCAAGCCAGAGGCCACCAGGTCCCTCCTCGCCCAGACACTTGCTCAGCTGCCAGAGGCCACCAGGTCCCTCCTCGCCCAGACACTTGCTCAGCTACCAGAGGCCACCAGGTCCCTCCTCGCCCAGACACTTGCTCAGCTACCAGAGGCCACCAGGTCCCTCCTCGCCCAGACACTTGCCAAGCTGCCAGAGGCCACCAGGTCCCTCCTCGCCCAGACACTTGCTCAGCTACCAGAGGCCACCAGGTCCCTCCTCGCCCAGACACTTGCTCAGCTGCCAGAGGCCACCAGCTCCCTCCTCGCCCAGACACTTGCCAAGCTGCCAGAGGCCACCAGGTCCCTCCTCGCCCAGACACTTGCTCAGCTACCAGAGGCCACCAGGTCCCTCCTCGCCCAGACACTTGCTCAGCTACCAGAGGCCACCAGGTCCCTCCTCGCCCAGACACTTGCTCAGCTACCAGAGGCCACCAGGTCCCTCCTCGCCCAGACACTTGCTCAGCTACCAGAGGCCACCAGGTCCCTCCTCGCCCAGACACTTGCTCAGCTGCCAGAGGCCACCAGGTCCCTCCTCGCCCAGACACTTGCTCAGCTACCAGAGGCCACCAGGTCCCTCCTCGCCCAGACACTTGCTCAGCTGCCAGAGGCCACCAGGTCCCTCCTCGCCCAGACACTTGCCAAGCCAGAGGCCACCAGGTCCCTCCTCGCCCAGACACTTGCTCAGCTGCCAGAGGCCACCAGGTCCCTCCTCGCCCAGACACTTGCTCAGCTACCAGAGGCCACCAGGTCCCTCCTCGCCCAGACACTTGCTCAGCTACCAGAGGCCACCAGGTCCCTCCTCGCCCAGACACTTGCTTAGCTACCAGAGGCCACCAGGTCCCTCCTCGCCCAGACACTTGCTCAGCTACCAGAGGCCACCAGGTCCCTCCTCGCCCAGACACATGCCAAGCTGCCAGAGGCCACCAGGTCCCTCCTCGCCCAGACACTTGCTCAGCTACCAGAGGCCACCAGGTCCCTCCTCGCCCAGACACTTGCTCAGCTGCCAGAGGCCACCAGGTCCCTCCTCGCCCAGACACTTGCCAAGCTGCCAGAGGCCACCAGGTCCCTCCTCGCCCAGACACTTGCTCAGCTACCAGAGGCCACCAGGTCCCTCCTCGCCCAGACACTTGCTCAGCTACCAGAGGCCACCAGGTCCCTCCTCGCCCAGACACTTGCTCAGCTGCCAGAGGCCACCAGGTCCCTCCTCTCCCAGACACTTGCCAAGCTGCCAGAGGCCACCAGGTCCCTCCTCGCCCAGACACTTGCTCAGCTACCAGAGGCCACCAGGTCCCTCCTCGCCCAGACACTTGCTCAGCTACCAGAGGCCACCAGGTCCCTCCTCGCCCAGACACTTGCTCAGCTACCAGAGGCCACCAGGTCCCTCCTCGCCCAGACACTTGCTCAGCTACCAGAGGCCACCAGGTCCCTCCTCGCCCAGACACTTGCCAAGCCAGAGGCCACCAGGTCCCTCCTCGCCCAGACACTTGCCCAGCTGCCAGAGGCCACCAGGTCCCTCCTCGCCCAGACACTTACCAAGCTCCTAGAGGCCACCATCCACCGCCTGGTGACACTCCAGGTTGCGCGTGGCAGCAAGCGGGGTACATCAGTGAGTATGCCCCAACCATGACCAACTCAGATGACAACAAGGGAAAGCTCTATGAGGACCCCGACATCATCGCTGCACCAGTCCCCAAATCTGGGAAGTTTATTTTCCTCGGGGACGTCAACGCCAGAGTAGGGACAGACTAACACACCTGGGAAGGGGGTCACTGGAAGACTTGCACACCTGGGAAGGGGGTCACTGGAAGACTTACACACCTGGGAAGGGGGTCACTGGAAGACTTGCACACCTGGGAAGGGGGTCACTGGAAGACTTACACACCTGGGAAGGGGGTCACTGGAAGACTTGCACACCTGGGAAGGGGGTCACTGGAAGACTTACACACCTGGGAAGGGGGTCACTGGAAGACTTACACACCTGGGAAGGGGGTCACTGGAAGACTTACACACCTGGGAAGGGGGTCACTGGAAGACTTACACACCTGGGAAGGGGGTCACTGGAAGACTTACACACCTGGGAAGGGGGTCACTGGAAGACTTACACACCTGGGAAGGGGGTCACTGGAAGACTTACAAACCTGGGAAGGGGGTCATTGGAAGACTTGCACACCTGGGAAGGGGGTCATTGGAAGACTTACACACCTGGGAAGGGGGTCATTGGAAGACTTACACACCTGGGAAGGGGGTCATTGGAAGACTTGCACACCTGGGAAGGGAGTCACTGGAAGACTTACACACCTGGGAAGGGGGTCATTGGAAGACTTACGCACCTGGGAAGGGGGTCATTGGAAGACTTACGCACCTGGGAAGGGGGTCATTGGAAGATTTACACACCTGGGAAGGGGGTCACTGGAAGACTTACACACCTGGGAAGGGGGTCATTGGAAGACTTACACACCTGGGAAGGGGGTCATTGGAAGACTTGCACACCTGGGAAGGGGGTCACTGGAAGACTTACACACCTGGGAAGGGGGTCATTGGAAGACTTGCACACTTGGGAAGGGGGTCATTGGAAGACTTACACACCTGGGAAGGGGGTCACTGGAAGGCTTACACACCTGGGAAGGGGGTCATTGGAAGACTTACACACCTGGGAAGGGGGTCATTGGAAGACTTACACACCTGGGAAGGGGGTCACTGGAAGACTTACACACCTGGGAAGGGGGTCATTGGAAGACTTACACACCTGGGAAGGGGGTCACTGGAAGACTTACACACCTGGGAAGGGGGTCATTGGAAGACTTGCACACCTGGGAAGGGGGTCATTGGAAGACTTACACACCTGGGAAGGGGGTCATTGGAAGACTTACACACCTGGGAAGGGGGTCACTGGAAGACTTACACACCTGGGAAGGGGATCACTGGAAGACTTACACACCTGGGAAGGGGGTCATTGGAAGACTTACACACCTGGGAAGGGGGTCATTGGAAGACTAACACACCTGGGAAGGGGGTCACTGGAAGACTTACACACCTGGGAAGGGGGTCATTGGAAGACTTACACACCTGGGAAGGGGGTCACTGGAAGACTTACACACCTGGACTTACACACCTGGGAAGGGGGTCATTGGAAGACTTACACACCTGGGAAGGGGGTCATTGGAAGACTTACACACCTGGGAAGGGGGTCATTGGAAGACTTACACACCTGGGAAGGGGGTCACTGGAAGACTTGCACACCTGGGAAGGGGGTCATTGGAAGACTTACACACCTGGGAAGGGGGTCATTGGAAGACTTACACACCTGGGAAGGGGGTCACTGGAAGACCTACACACCTGGGAAGGGGGTCACTGGAAGACTTGCACACCTGGGAAGGGGGTCATTGGAAGACTTACACACCTGGGAAGGGGGTCACTGGAAGACTTGCACACCTGGGAAGGGGGTCATTGGAAGATTTGCACACCTGGGAAGGGGGTCATTGGAAGACTTACACACCTGGGAAGGGGGTCATTGGAAGACTTGTACACCTGGGAAGGGGTTCACTGGAAGACTTGCACACCTGGGAAGGGGGTCACTGGAAGACTTACCCACCTGGGAAGGGGTCACTGGAAGACTTACACACCTGGGAAGGGGGTCATTGGAAGACTTACACACCTGGGAAGGGGGTCACTGGAAGACTTGCACACCTGGGAAGGGGGTCATTGGAAGACTTACCCACCTGGGAAGGGGGTCACTGGAAGACTTGCACACCTGGGAAGGGGTTCACTGGAAGACTTGCACACCTGGGAAGGGGGTCACT